GAACACGGCAAAACTCTTCTGACAACCCGGTGAGCGGCGCGGGGGGGGGGGGGGCGCTCACCACCGGGGACCGCCCCCCCCCCCTGGGGGCCCTTCGCTCTGTCCGTCCCTTTTAGCTCCCCACGGATCGGCTTCAGTCACAACAACACGCCGAGCTCGTTCCGCTCCGCGGGTCCGCTCGTTCTTTAATTAGAAATCAGGGGACCGGACGAGGCGTAGAACCGCAGACGGAGCCATTGAGACGCCTCGCGTTGGGGCGGATGCTTCCGAGCCTCCAATCCTTCACCAACGCCGAGGGACAGAAGTCAGCACTTGGAACGTGAAGTAGAGGCAACTTGTAGGCCTGTGGTACAAATGTGTCAATCAGCATGAAGCCCCGCCCTAATGCATCCCCTTCTTTATGGCCTGTAAATGGACCATATTTAACTAAATGAACATCATGTTGCATTGACGTAGACTTGAAACTAAAGCTTTAGACCATAAACTCATGTTTACAATGTTTACTGAGGGAATAAATCCAGAGGAGCAGAGGAGTCGCCCCCTGCTGGTCACTACAGAGAAGTAGAGTCATTTCCTCATAGACGTCTATGGGAGCAGAGGAGTCGCCCCCTGCTGGTCACTGCAGAGAAGTAGAGTCATTTCCTCATAGACGTCTATGGGAGCAGAGGAGTCGCCCCCTGCTGGTCACTACAGAGAAGTAGAGTCATTTCCTCATAGACGTCTATGGGAGCAGAGGAGTCGCCCCCTGCTGGTCACTACAGAGAAGTAGAGTCATTTCCTCATAGACGTCTATGGGAGCAGAGGAGTCGCCCCCTGCTGGTCACTACAGAGAAGTAGAGTCATTTCCTCATAGACGTCTATGGGAGCAGAGGAGTCGCCCCCTGCTGGTCACTACAGAGAAGTAGAGTCATTTCCTCATAGACGTCTATGGCAGCAGAGGAGTCGCCCCCTGCTGGTCACTACAGAGAAGTAGAGTCATTTCCTCATAGACGTCTATGGGAGCTGAGGAGTCGCCCCCTGCTGGTCACTACAGAGAAGTAGAGTCATTTCCTCATAGACGTCTATGGGAGCAGAGGAGTCGCCCCCCTGCTGGTCACTACAGAGAAGTAGAGTCATTTCCTCATAGACGTCTATGGGAGCTGAGGAGTCGCCCCCTGCTGGTCACTACAGAGAATGCAGACACAAATCCTGATTAGAACAGATATTTTCCGTGGGAATAAAATGGCAATTGTTTGTTGCTCAGTCAAACTTTAACATGAACTGGTTAATACATATCTAAATTACCTTCTTTTATTCTAACAGGCCTGCTCTTCCCTGAACCGTGACTTGTCTGCATGCACATTTGTCTAGTTTATTCACATTATATTATCATGTAATATGTGTAGGAATCGTCTCCTTCCACTGCATCAGGGAAATGGAAGCCCTCTTTCTCACCATAACCCAATTCTCACAAATATTCGTATAAGTATATCTCCTCTACGTGTTCCTCTAAGCTTTCCTCTCTTAAGCCCTCTCGGCGTGGAAGTGGTATTAACCTCCGTATGCTCTCTGAAGCTTATCTTCTTTGTGTATCTGTCTTTATCTTTTGTCTCTTTTTCTCCTCACAACCCGTTTTCATGAAACGCACTTTGGCAAGTTTAAAAACTCACCGGTTTTTCATTGCTTCGTTTCTCTCTGTGCTGGAGGGAACTGACACCTGAAAGCAGAAGGAGACATTATGGAAATCCAGCTGGTAAAGATAAAGGTAAAAGAAAGAAGCTGATACCACCTGCCATCTTCCTTTCCCTTTCTTGGTGTGTGTTGAATATTTTATTGGTTGACGCTGTGCATCACACAAATGTTCTTACTGTGAAATGAATCTCCCTCCAACACTCGAGATGCTTTCACATTAACCTTCAAATAATAAGGTAAATATATTTATTTGACAGAGTTGAACATGAATGCAACACAAGAAGGGAAAAGCTTGGCAGGTAAAGCCAGGCAGCTCCTTTAAGATTTAGTTTTATTTTGAAAAACTCTCTCCTCGCGCGGAGCCCAAAATTGACACAATATTATTGATTCAACGAGTTGGTTTCTGCTTCTTTTCTCCCCAAAAGTCAGCGGCTGTTTGGGACGGAGAGGCTCGCCGACTGGATGGATTCACAGCTTGATCGGAACGTAAATTCTCCGGGGACGAGGGCATTTTTGTCAAAGCCTTCTGAGAAAGATTAATACAAACAAAGGGAAGCAGACGAGATAAGAGGCACTTCACTGGGTCGCAATTTTGTGCAATAAACCCGGATCAAACGCAGCCAGAAAGGCCCGGCTGGCTCCTTCCACCGCTTTGTTCGCTCCTATTGTCCCGCGGCCTCGATGCAGCGATGCAGAGACGAGGCGCCGTCACCGACAATGGCCGCGCGTCGGCTGACTTCCTGTCGGGTGCCGCTGTTTGATTGGCGGGTGGAAAACAAGCCGCGGCGTGTGGGTCGCGTGTGGGTCGCGTGCGCCCGACACGGATCTCATTTCCATCTGTAATATTCCCGTGTTGGAGTTGCATCTGCATAGAGATATTAATGTCTGTTCATTACAACGAGAAACACCGAGAAACAACGAGAAACATCAATCTTCTTCTCGCTAGAGATATTTCAGGAAAATTCAAACAAATATTTTTCTGTTCGCTGTGACGGTGTTGGGCACAACAAAGCACATTTTAACATGTTACACTTGGGAACAATGACCTCGCTCATTTAGCCGGTGCATTGTTAGCTTAAAACAGCTAAGTGGCTAGCTAGCTAGCTGCTAGATGTGACAGGTAAAAAAATATATATTTTTCAAAGAATTCTCTTTAAGAATAAATGAACACAACATTCCTTAGAAAACGTATGGTAGTGTTTTAATTCATTTTTGGTACATTTAGCAACACGTATTTCTAATTTCAACCTTTGCAGCACATTTAGCTACAAAATTTTACTATTTGCAAATAACAGCTTTTTGGAAAAAAGCAAAAAGAAAAGGAACCAGAGCAGATAACAGGGAGGTCATTTGCTCTTTTTTCTCCAAACAACACAACACACAATGTGTCACATCAAATAATCTCAATTGCAGTCCTTCAGTCGGGACAAAAAGGGTTTGTATCCCTGCGGTATAATTGAACATTCAACATCTAAGCTCATGGACATCTGGGCTCACGCGCCGCTCACACGCCACACATTTCCTTCCATTATGCAACACTAATGTGCAGCCTGTGGTCGAAGCTCCTTTGTGTGGCGGATCGGCTGCAGCGGAAACCTCTGCTCCCATCGACCCACCGCTCAAAAGAGACACGGCGGTTCAGACGCGATCTGGATTTGTTCTCCAGATGTGATTCTGAACATTCATGCTTTTGGCTGAAATGTCTGTACAGCTGTTTGATGAATTTGCATGAAATTCGTTGCTCGTATTTATGTTCCCATCGAGTTTCATCTGGGACCACTATGAGGGGCCGTTTGTCATCCAACCTCAGATATGTGTACGATATATGTGTATGCGACTGTGAAGATATGGAATTAGAAAGAATGCACATCCAGAACTGGCATTTGGCGAAGGAGGGGGTTCGATCGGAAGGCTTAAGGTTCATTTAGTTTGGATGTCAGATCAGGACTCATTTCAAACTGTACGTGGTTTCTATTTACAAATAAATGTAGATTAAAGCCAGAATGAATGTGTTTCAACACAATACAGGCCAGTAATTTATTATTGCCGTAGAAGCCTGTCGGATTGTGAAGTCACTCTTAAAATTGAGACACGTTTCACAAAACAATATTGCATCGGTTCACTGTAGATAGCAGCTCAGTAACACACACACACACACACACACACACACACACACACACACACACACACACACACACACACACACACACACACACAGGATGGAGCCGTTGGTCACGATGCCATTTATCTGTACCGGAAATGTTCAACGCTGATCTTCTCAGGACCGCGAGGCTGCGGCGGACGTCTGACCCGATTTTAAACAGCAGCTGACTGCAAATGTCAGCGTTTCCCTCCACGTGCTTGTTTTCATCTCCCGACCTGCTGCAACAAAACACAACAAAACACACGAGAATCCTTTTTTCACCGGAAACCAAATGTCACACGTCTCCCTCCAGTGGGCGCACGCGGCATTCACCACGGGCGTCATCTCGGCGTTGCTTTGGCGCCCTTTGACCCGACGAAGGTCGGCTGGGACTCGTCGCCAACAGCGGAGAGCGTTTGTATGAATAAAAGAATAAAAGCTAATTCCTGTCTCTGAAACCCTCCCAGAGGAACGTGGCTCCGTGTCCAGCGGCTGCAGGGGACCAGGTTTCATGGCGGGGGCGGGGGTGGGGGGCTTGTCTCAGTGACACGGTTCACCCGGCTGTTATCAGCACCACCATCCCATTTATTGGCTCATTGTTCAGTGTTTTTATTGCTGTGTGCGTTGCAACCTTGTTACCAACACGTACGTTGCACCGGTGGAAAGCAGTTTCTTGCATGAAAAGATGGCAAGTAAGGAAGTGAGCTTACGAAGTACAAGACAAAGCTGTAAACGATTAAACCACCTAAACCCTTCTGGCCTGTGCTCCCTCACAAAAAAACACAATGTCCAACTGGGGCCACCGTCATGTTTTAGGCCTTCTGTGAGCCACGTTAGCCACGTTAGCTCTAAACTTCTCTGGTGATTTTGTTTTACAAAATTTGAGGCCAAAAGGCTGAAAGGTAATTTGCGAGTCGGAATCTTCCTTTTTCTTCCCGGTCATCATGTCGGGGCCGTTGAGATGGACCGGGTCAACTTTCACCGCTCACAATCTGATAATAGATCGAGTACTTCTTTCACCGCAGCTTTGCTCACTACACTTATTAACTCAGGCCTTTTTTTTCTCAGCGAGGTTTACGTTTAAAATCGAACAGGTCGTAAAGATCCTTTTGGACCGACACTCCCTCCCCGGTTCTGTGTAATCATTAACTGGTCCAGCCAGTTACTGAGGGCAGCCAGGAGATCTCTGCACGGCTTCACACTGCTTGTGTGAACAGATTCTCTTGTCCCCAAACCGGCGTCACAAGCCAAGAGGAAGAGAAAGCGAAAGCAGTGCAGGTGAGCTCTTTTTCACCTGAGCTACGCAGGTAAGAGGAGCGTTTTCTCTCTTTGTCTCTGTCTCTCTGTCTGTCTCTCTTTGTCTCTGTCTCTGTCTGTGTACATTTTACATACAGATGAAGCGACGACGGCGCTTCCCGTTTACACTGTTTGTTATCATCTCTTTTTAACGTGTTAATCCTGAACTGATGGGATAATGATAATGAAAAAGTTAATGTCGTGTCATTGCTTTTGATTCACTAGACATTTAGTTTCAATCCGATTATTATTCTGTAAAATAAATGATAATAGTTCACGTCTTACTTGAAATGATCTTACAAACACTTTTAGATAAATTGCAGCCGTGGTGGAAGAAGTAGGAAAGTAAAGAGCACTTTAATTTTCAACTTTCGTTACAAACAGTGTTTAAGGACTTTACACAACACGAGGTGTGTTTGTGTCACGACGCATTGCGTCACACTGCGTTCAGTCGAACCGGCTGTTGTCGGTAAACAAGAACCGGCCCCTCCTCACGGAAACCACGGGGTGGGGCCACATTCACCACCACCTGCTTCTCCCCGCAGGTGGACGATGAGATGTCTCAGAAGACGGACAGGAACGCCGACCAGGGCGACGGCGGCGGCGTCCCGCAGGCCATGCTGCGGGTGTTCAGGGACAGCATGCGGCGGGCCTCCGGCGGCAAGGGGGCGAAGGTCGCCGCCGGCCAGGACGTGGGGTCGCCGTCTTCCCCGCCGTCACCCGGTGAGTACCGCCGACGCGTGACGTGAGGCGCCGCTGCGGGCCTCAGAAGGTCAGGAGAGGAAACGCGCTCACCTGCCAGGTGACTTACCTGACTTCCGCCTGGAAGCGAGCGGGGACTCGTTGCTTCGAAAAATGAAGTAACCGCAAAGCAGGACCTGAAAAACGTGTCCCTGCTGGTCTCCCACGGGCGGTTTCATTCGGATGCTTTTCGATAGCAGAGGGATGTTTGGTTCTTCGGGGCAGCAGAAGCACTAGAGCCGAGCCAAACGCACCTTTCACCGAGACTTAATCTTTGCATTCCTCCAGAAAGTGAACGTCGAAGGTCACGTCTCCTCTGAGGAGCACCGGGGGAACTTTTTTCAGCAGGAGAGAGGAGGAGGACACATCGGCCGTCCTCTTGCTTCTGGTGTCACCTGCTGCCTTTTTCACGCTCGTCCACGTGAAAGATTGTTGTGCTTTAAGGACGTCAGCCAAAAAAGTCCACTTATTGAATAATCATCTATTTTAAGACACTAAAAATAAAATGTATCTCTGGAAAATACATTTTTTTAAAGGATTATTTTAAATGCTGCTCCAGGGTCAAACATAAACATTAAACCCCTGGATCACTTTAGCGTTCACAAATCCCTTGGCGATGTCCTGCTTTTATAAATACAAGCGTCTGTAAAAAAGGTCAATTGTCGCTCACACATCAGGGTCAACTTTACAAAAAAGGAATTTGACTCACAAAGTAGAAATAACAGCTGAATAAACTGAACATCTGCATTAAGGACAAAATGACATTAATGTGTGATGGACAAACAGCACATGTTCTGTCTAGTGAGGATTACACGTAATCCACTGATACAGTGGTACAAAGATCCTATAGTGGGCTTAAATTCAGGTAAATAATAAAATAAAAGAAATAGAACAGAAAACTGTCTAGAAAAAACATTACTGGAGTCATTTATTGTGGAAATAAAACTTGACAAATAGATGATTTAAGAGAAATATAATTTCTCCCATTTAGCAGATTTAACGTGACTCTTTTGAATAATAATCAGCTTAAAGGTAAAATAGTGAATGCACGGTTATTATCTATTAAATGTGACTGATTGGCTTTGAGCACGAGGTTCCCAGCAGCCAATCACGTCTGGGCTCGTAAACCGCGTCTTTCCCTCCCGCTCAGATCCCAACGTGGTCGGGTTCGGGGACTCGCTCATGAGAAGGGGGGCGTCCATACGGCGGAGCCTGAAGTTGGGATCGAAGAAGGATAAAGGCTTGCGGCCGGAGGCGCTGGTCTCCAAAGGCCCAGGCGTCGACAAGATGGAGGAGGAGGAGGAGCAGGAGGAAGAGGAGGCGTATGAGGAGATGGAGGAGTCGTACACGCTGCCGGAGATACCTCACACCCCGCTGTCAGGTACGCTCTCTTCATCAGGTCTTAATATGGGAGGGGGGGACTGCATAGTATATATATATATTCATTATAGGAAAAATATTTGAAAAATAAAGAATATTGGGTTGAAAGATGTCATATTAAAAAAAGTCAAAATATTTTAATTAAAATGTCTTTGAATAAAAGACGAAAAATATTTGGTCAAACGAATGTTTTGTTGAAAAATTAAATTATATTAGTAACTTTAATTTGCACGTCTCCACATGAATAAATGAGCTGTCTGAAGACATTCGTGGCTTCAAGTTATGAATCGTGACCTTTCGTCTTCAAGTTCCCAAACAGCTTTGGGTCTGTTTTGGCTACAGGAGCAGCCGGCGCTCTTATTCCCAGTGTAAACACACGGGTTTAGCGTGTCTGCAGACACACGCGTTCACTGTCCACATCCGGCCTGCAAGACGCTTTAAATTCACGATGTTTCCCTTATGTCCATCGATGTGTTGAGAACATGTTTAACAGGACGAATAAACAGTGTCAGCGTGTGTCCTCCGTGTATCTCCACGTGAACCTTCAAGCTCTACCGTGTCCCCAGTGATGCAGATCAATAAGCTGATTGAGATGGAGGTGCTGGAGGAGGCTCACCTGAACCTGCTGGCCCTGCGGCGGGAGTTCCAGCAGGAGCAGGAGCGCTGCAGCGAGGACTCCCCCATGGAGCTGGCCAAGAAGGAGAAAGACCTCAACCTCCTCTACGGCGAGCTGAGGAACAAGGTCAACGCCATCGTGCGCGACTCCAACTCCCTTCCCTCCAGGAACAAGGGGCTGCTGGTCGCCGTGGCTCGCATCATCCAGGAGGAGGAGAGGAGGGCGGAGGAGCCCGGCGGGCTGGCGGGCAGCTGGATGGAGGCGTGGAGGGAGGCGGTGGACGATGGGGTGCGGGCAAAGGTGGCGGGCGTCCAGCTGGAGCGCACGGAGCAAAACGCCTCCTGGCTGGCCGTTCACCTGGGGCTGCTGGGGAAGGCCGTGACGGAGGACCTGCAGCAGGTGAGGGCGGAGCTGCGGCGCTCGTACCCGCCCAGCTTCCAGGTCTTCGGCGCCTACGTCGGCAGCTACGGCCGAGTCGTGGGGCAGCACGTGGGGAAGCTGGAGCAGCGGGCGACGGAGCTGAAGGACCTGCACGCTCTGCTGGACTGGATCATCAACCGCTACCAGAGGTCAGGGAAGGTCGATGCAGAAGGTCCTGTCACCTACGAGGTCTTTGTCAGGCACAATGAATAATCTGCTGTTTTGAGTAACCAAAGCCTATTTTGATAGCTCACCTTATGTGCGTCACGCGTGGACGATGGTGCCTCCAGGTGTCATCCAATTCACTAAGTGCTTCATTCGATGAAACAAAACCCAAATACACACGAAATGTGCAGTGGGCCCTTTGACAGACGTGTCGTACCAGGGAGAAAACACGCGTGTCATCCGTCAGAGGAACCTCCCACTCGCTCTGCACAGATTCAGAGGAAATGTTGAAGTCTTCTGAAAAGCACATTTGAAGAGTAGAGATGTTTAGCGACAGCAGCGGAGGGAGCCTGAATCGGGCCCCCCCCCCCCCCGCGCTCCCCCCTCCCTCCCCCCCGATCCCCCCCCGCCCCCCCCAAGGAAAGGAAAACAGGCTTGAAACAACATTTGAGAGGCCGAAAATAAACTGATGGGGGGAAAAAAAGCACAACAATCTCTCTCGAGGCCAAAAAGGAAAACATGAAATCAGGTCGCGTGTCTCTCAGATTATGTAAAGTAGCACCTTCAAAAAGGGCTTCTTCATTCAGTGTGTCACACACACACACACACACACACACACACACAATATACAAGAACGATGCAGTATTCTCCATGTGCTTGGAAACATAAAACTCAATGAGTATTTGAAAGTATTTTTTTATTTGAACCCGGTTTCCTCCCGGCGTGAAGCGACACGTCTGCGCTCCGGGTGGCGCGCCAGCGTGGTTAAAAGTGTCTCGTTTCACCCCGCACAGCGAGAGGATCATGGGAAGTCCGTCCCTGCAGCCGGACATGAGGGACCACACCGCCCAGCTGAAGCTGGAGGACGACTTCCTGCCGCGGCTGAGGGACAAGTTCTGCTGCGCCGTGAAGGTCGGCAGCACCGCGGGCCTCGCGCGTGGCCACGTTGGAGAGATGATGATGAGTTAGTGTCCTCAGAGGATGAGAAGAAGCCTCCACCTTTCTTCTGTCTCTGCTTGTTGCTGCAGGAGGACCTGAAGGCCTCATTTGTGAGGATCATCACGATGGAAGACGAGGACTTCTGGAAGGACGGGAAGCCTCCGGAGAAGGAGGACGACCTCCTCAGCCATCCGATGCCCATGGACATCTGGACGGTGGGATTCCCATTACGTAGATGACGAAGATGACAGATGTCCCACGGCATGTAAAATAGTGGAGTAGAAAATGAATATTTTATAATAAAAGTACCACGAGGGAGCCTGAAGCGTATGAATAAGCTGAGAGGATATCTTCTCATGCTGAAAGAAAATTAAGAAAATGTTACTTAAATTCCCACCATATGAATAAATAATGAATAATTATTATTCTTATGGTCTTATGGCTGAAAGACAAACATAATTGGTGTAATTAGTCTGATTCTGTTTTTTCCAGGTGCAGTGTCGCGATGTGACCACGTGGGGGAAGCAGACAGCTTCCCTTCGCGCTCACTGTTAACGTGTGAATGACCAACCGTGTTTTTATGTTTCCTCTCTGCAGAAAGTGGAGGGAATCGTTTCAAACTGTCGACTGATCGACGACCAGCTGCAGCAGAGAGTGATCTCGTCCTGCCTCCAGGAGCTGAAGGACTTCCCCAAGAGGTTTGTGTACAAATACCTGCAGGTCATCGATTCTGCATTTAACATCAACGTGTAACAGTGTCCCTCGAGATGAAGCAACACGTGAACTGCTGCTCACAGCCGTTAACCAGCTTTTGTGAAACACAAAGCAGGTTTTAAACTTAGAAGATTTGAGCATCAAGTTGAGTTGCGGGATAGAAGTTTAGCGGTATAAATATTTGCGATATGAGTGGGATCAAAGGTCAAGTGGTGTCAGGGAGGGAAAATACCGCATGTGTATAAATCATTTAAAAGAGGAAGGTGAAGACTGAGGGGAACCACCAATAAGAGAACCGGCTGAAAACTCCTTTGTCCCGTCTTGTGCAATAACAACGCTGTCGAAATGTCGGAATATTTCCTCTGATTGGTTTGTGACCAATGTTGTTTAAAACCAAACCCCTCTGTGATAAGGTTCATTATTAATAATGTGTGCATTGTCCTTTATCTCACAAACTCTCATTAATCTTACTTCAGTTTTATCTCTGCAGCAGCAAAAAAAGTAAACAGAAAAACTATGACAAAGCAGTGAAAGGAATGTTTTCTGCCGTTAGTGGTAGAAGTACTTAATTCAAGTAAAACTAGCTAATACCACAGTGTAGAACTACAGGTAAATACACACAGTAAAAGTACAAACGTAATAGCATCAAAATATACTTCACTTCCAAAAAGTACTCAACATGCTAATTATTCCGTCTGACAATCATATATATTATTATAAATTTAATGTTAATTTAAATGATCTACTGCTGCGTAGTTTAATCCATAATAACACACCATTGATTGATTGGTGGATCTTTATTTTTGAATTAATAATCTAAATCCACAAAAGTACTTAAATCCAGCTGAAGAACTCAAAGTACAACATTTTTAAAAGTATTGATATAAGTGAAATACTGCACGTATAAGGATGTGGTATTTTACATTACAGGTCATTTATCTGACGCTTTTATCCAAAGCGACTTACATTACATTTTGGCCCCGCGGAGCAATTAGTGGTTGGGTGCCTTGCTCGGGGACACGGGGCAGCCGGGGCTCAAACCAACGGCCCTGCGGTCCCCAGCGCACCCTCTCCTCCCCCCTGAGCCTCCATGACCCCACGGACGTGTTCCTGTCTCTCCTCAGGCTGGAGGCGGAGTTCAGGCGTCGCTGCGACGCGCTCAGGCCGGCGCGCCTCTGGACCGAGTATCAGATAACCTACGTCAACTGCTTCGCTGCTTTACAGTAAGTCACGTGACTTCTGCGGGGACAAACCCGCGTGTCCCCACAAGACCACGAGCCGGTAGAGAAGTCCAACAGAAGCAGAGCTTAAAATACAGGAGGAGTGAAATTTGAGAACACACTAATCTGTCTCCAGAAAGTAGAGCAGGCCCTTCAAAATAAAAGCTCCAGATGGTACGAATATGTTTGAATACATTTATCGGTGTTTAATTAGTACATCGGTGGTGAAATGTCTCGTGCATGAAGAGCACTAAGAATTAAGGAAAAAATACTGCACATTAGTTGAAAAATACTAATCATGTTTGAATGGAGCTTTACATGAGCATTTATTTTCCTTTCCATCCCAGAAGTGAATATCACGCGTTTACAAAAGGTTCCTGGAACTTATTTAGAGGGTTCCACCTAGAACCATCTGTGCTTCAACGTTTCGCCCAGGAAAACCCTCCTGTGAGGTTCTATCTATTGTTCTCTATGTCGTTCTGCATGTTCGTGTTTTGACCCAAATGCACGACACACGACTCCGGGGCTCTTTGACCTTTAATTAAAGCTGCGGGGCAGAAGGGCCGGTCGGGTCACCGGGTCGGGCCAGCGGGGTAAACAGGGGCAGGCGGGACGGCAACAAGAGATCCGTCTGGGAAGAAACGCTGGAGAGTCCGGCACGGAGGCTGAAGAACCTTCTGGCAGCCGGTGAGTGCGTGACTGGGGTTTGAATACTCAAGGGAGTGAGACGGGTAGACAGGCGAGCGTGATCGGGCCGACGAGGCGCACGTGCCCAGCAGGTGTACAGAATGACCTGAATATGGGGGGAGGTGGAGCTAAACTGTGACACTGCTGGTTCATTCCAATGACAACGTTCCGCGTGACTGGAAAAAAAACCAACAACCAACACCTCTTTTGTTTGGATGAGTCATCACAAAAAGAAAGCCGGAGGCCGGGGGGAGATTCCCAGCCTGCGTGCCAACGGCCCGCCGCAGAGAGAGCGGAGGCATTCTCTCCAGAGGCCCCGGTCACGTGACTTTGGGGAATCGGGCCTGCGAGTGAGAAACGCTGGTGCTGTGTGGGTGCAGTTTTCTTCCTGTTCTGCCGCTGTGGTTTTTTACAACCTCCATGCAAAGGGGGCTCAGTCACACGGACATCTGCCAAGTAAATGATCGAGTCCATAGAAAAGCTCCTGAAACAGATAAAAAGGCTTCAGTCTGGATGAGAAACTGTGTGAAATTCAGGTACAAATGAGGTATGACCTGAATGAGGAGAACACTGTAATCTGTAACGTATTCCGCTACATTAACTAATCTGAGTATTGTATTCTGAATACTTGGATTACTCCCACATTGAATTGCATTTTGTAAAGGAACGCGGGCATCACATCCAGCTTAGCAGGCTTATTCTATCGTGTTCTTCTGTTCCAACTGGCTGGATGTGCTCGGCCCAAGTCTAACACATTTTTGTGTTTGTGTTAAAAAAATCTAAGCGCCGTTTAAGCGAACGCGAGCTCATCTCGGCTGACGTCAGCTAGCATGTCAAACGGGCCTAATCTGAGTCTTTCAGCGGCTCCGGGGCTCGTAAATCAGCACGTAGGAGAAAGTAAGGTTGCACATCTGGCTGATACAACTATACAATAGCATCGATGAGAAGGATCAATTAAAGCCAAAAAGTTAACATTTATAACAAGTATACATGAGCGATTCTCCGCAGAGATATCTGGCTCTAACTGTTGCTTGCAAGCAGGAGGTCGAATACACAAGCACGTATTTTCAGCGTAAATGGCGTCAGCGAGCGGTAAAAACGCTGAGTTTTTATACACACACAAGAAGCAAGTTCATCCTCAGTGGAAGGTGCAAATTATAATTAATAGACAAAAAGTAGAAACGCGTCTATGAGACGGAGTTGACCGGCCTCCCTTCTCAGGACAGCTGCCAATTAAAGGTTTCGTACCATCCTGCTCTTTGCACGTCAGGGTCAAATACAGACACTTAAGACACGGGTTAACACAACGTTATAACATGTTACACGCATCTCACGGTGACCAGTAAAGCTGCAGCAGGCGACTACCTTTGACTAATAAAAAAATAAACTTAATGTTACTTTAAGATGCTTCTTCGCGTTGGAGGTGGAGGTTTTGGACGCTGAAAGGAGGCTGTCGCGCTGCCGTTATCAATGCTTTGTTCCTGCCCCCGGCTCTGTTCTGCTCCCATTCGGACTCCGTTAGCAGCTACCGATCAAACAATGAGGGTTTTCGTTAGTTTTCATGGCCGCGCTTCAGGGAAATGCATCAAGTTGCCTTCATTTATTTAGAGAGTGAATGAACTCTCGTACCGTCGTGTAAGCCATTGATTTCAACAATGTAACTGTATTCTGAGTACCATCTATTTAAAATGTAACTAACGGAATACAGTTACTCCGAATTTGTATTCTAAATACGTCACGCCGGTGATGATTGTTATCATATCATGACAACGCTGCACTTGTTTTAAGGTGGAGGAGGAAACAGGAAGGGAGGGATGTCTGGAGGGAAAATTCTGAAGAGGGAGTGAAAGCGTTGACTAATTATTATGGCGGGAATCCGAAGGGTCAGCTGATAAACCCGTTGGGTCACGAGGTGATTGATGAAGTGATTGATGTTCATTCTGTTTTCTAGTATTGAACTATTCAATTCAAGTACTCTTTTCCGAAAGCAAAGTATACAAAGTGTGTCGTCGTCGTCGAGGTGACCCAGCCGGCGGTGCTGTTTGTGGCCCGCAGGCAGCACATGGGGAGGTACCGGGACGCGTGTCCGCAGGAGGTGGACGCCTTCGGAGCGGAGGCGACGGGGCTGACGGCCCGGCTGCTGCAGGCGCTGGAGGAGCAGTTCAAAGAGGAGGTGGAGGTAATGACGGCGTGACGGGATGAAATAACGACACATCAGAGGGAACGAAACAGTATTGATATAGAAAGTATAAAGAGTTCATTCTCATCCAGGGTTCCTAGTTACACAACTTTTAGAAATCCCACCGTGTCATTTAGTGTTTTCCGGGTTTCTGATCAGATGTTCTGTTCTGAACGGAAGCAAACAACGTAGTTCAGGACGGCTGATTGAAATGGTCCCTCTGAACCCGTCCTGCAGCCGTACCTGAGGAGGATGATGACCAGGAAGTGGCTCACCAACGACGACGACTTCCAGCGTCTCCACCGCCGGGCGGAGCTTCTGTCGCAGCACTGCGCTCTGATGAGGCCTCCTCATGCTCAGGTGAGGAGGAGGAAGAGGAGGAGGAGGAGGAGGAGGGGGGGATTTCCAGCATTTACCAACCGCTTCCTTTTCCTGAGATAAAGCCCCCCACCAGTTAATGAGGGTTTTACTGGCATCGGTCCTGATGGGACATCGTTGATAAAGGAAGGACACAGGAAAGCGTTTCTATTTGAGCTTCCTCGCAGGTCGGGAGAGAAAGTCCCTGTTTACGCTTTCATCGCTTTCGGAAGTTCCAGTGGATTAAATGGTTCTGGGCCGGATGCTGTCTGAAAGGAAACCCTGGAAACCCCGGATAGTAATGAATGAGTGTGAGGGGGGGTCACATGATCCATCCTGTTATTTGTGTGTGTGTGTGTGTGTGTGTGTGTGTGTGTCCCGGCGGCAGGAGTTTGCGAGCCGGCTGCACCTGCACGTGTCGAGGGAATACGTGGGCCAGCTGATGAAGAGCAACTACTCGTGCAAGAACCGGAAACACGAGAAGGCGGCGAGCAAGATTCGCTCGCAGTGGGAACGCGTCAGTGAGCACTTTCAATGCATGGTAATAAACACTGATTATTCACTGACCAGCTCACCATTGACTCACTTTACTTTCTTTTAGTACGTTTAGCTAAACATATTTCTGTCGGACAGAATATTTTCACCATTGTTACTTTTACTCATGTAAAATGTTTAGTGCTTCTTCACTAAATGTAGTATTTCATTGATCTAGTATTTTACTTCCATTAATTGCCATTGATTCAACTTTTACTGGATTTCCTACATTTCCCATGATGCAACTCAATGAGGTGTGCAGTATGAGACATGAGAAAAGCTTCTCCAGAGGCCGCTGAGTTCACTTTCATGAATAGTAAACGTTCCTTTGAGGTTTGAGGAGGTTTTGCTTCAGCGCCATGATAGTTCTTATGATTTATGGTCTCTGCTGAATCTCACGACACTGTTTCCAGTTCATTCATTCATCAGCAAACAATCAAAAACGGTTTTGAACCCGTATGTGTGCGCGTTCTGTTTGTGCGTCCGCGCCAGAAGTCGACCCACGAGTGGCTCTACGACGCCGGAGACGACCTGAGCGACGTCGTCGCGCAGAAGAACGCGGCCGACATAAAGGACCACCTGCAGCCGCTCGTGGAGCACTACCCCGACTTCAGGTGAGCTCCGCCCCCCCCCAGCCGCTCCGGACTCGTCTGAAACGTTTCATTCCAGGTCTGCTAAAGAGGAACCTAACATGTGGAAAGGTCATCTCAACCGTGAAGACATTCAACAACATCCCGAGGCTTCCCCTCTTTCAGACTGTGGGAGTATGTCGGCGCTTCTCCTCACGGACTGAAGCCCTGCAGGAATCCGCCTCCTAGTTAAGAGACGCCGACATCGAGGAACCAGAAGAACGAGGAAGCGATGATGAAATACGAGACCAACAATCGATATTCACTTACAGATTAACCCCCCGGAGAAAAGGAAGCGCCGACTCAACATCTGCAGGGTTTTACCCACTTCAGAGGGAGCATCAGGTTTCTGGTTGGACGATAAGAGATCAGACCCGTGACCTTTGACCCCAACAGTTTACATTAAATACGTGCCGTGTTCTTGAAGTTGAAGATACTTGAAGTACGATCGAGTTCTTAAAGTTCCTCAAGAGAAACAACTGGAGAACCCGGAAGTCGCGGCGGGTTCTGCATGTTTCTCAGGCGTCTGAAACTGAACTACCCGCCTGTGCTTCCTCCTCTTCTCCCCCTGCAGCCAGAAGCACCTGGTGGCCGTGCTGAACTTCCGAGGCCTGCGGCGAGGCCGCGAGCACCAGCTGATCCTCCAGCGCCACGCCCAGCTGCAGGAGAAGACGGGCGCCGCAGGCGAGAGGAGCCACGCCTTTTTCTCCAACATGCCGGTCGCCGTCCAGGCGGGCTGCCTCTCCAACGTGCCCTTCTCCTGCCTCGGCTGAAGACCTGCGGCCGGGGGCCTTTTTTTAAAAGGTGGTTCCACACTTTTGTTTTTGGCAGACAAGCGGTTCGTTTCTCACACGGTTGTGATTCAGTTAGCGGTTTACCGTCGACCCCTGAAGGTCAGCTGGTTCTCTCAGCGACGAGAGGCTCCGTCTGCTCTCACCGGAAGGAGGTCCAGAATGTTTGTTTAAAAGACAAATATTTCAAGTATGAGGCTTGAGATCTGCCGATTTTGATAATGAGGAAAAGATGTATATTGCTGTATATTTTAACATGTTGAGAGGAATCAGGAGGCGAACTGACTCATTGATTTGGTCTTTGGTCTCCTCAAAAACGATGGCTAACGATATGTTTCCACTTATAAAACGTAGAGGCCGCGCAGGGACGCAGCGCGCTACGCAATGAGAGGGAGGCGTGACAGAAAACGCAGCGTTGTTTTTGGGGCAGAAAGAAAACTTTTCCCAGACGGATCCTGATTAGAGTCCGACCAGTGAAATGTTGCGAAACTTGAATGTGCCGTGAAGCTCTGATGGAATAAATGAAAAGCAGGTTTCTGCTGTGGAATGCTCCTTCTCTGGAATCTGTGTTGGACCTGAATCTCAGTGTAAGATCTCCTAATAAAAAGTGTACTAAACTCTTGTGTGTTGCGTGAGCATTTACCCAGTGAACGGTACATTAACCTCAAAGCAGCTAAACGTGAGGGTTTTTCTAGTGAAATATGTTTCAGCAGATCCCAGATGATCCTGTGTGATCTTCTTTGCACATTTCATTCATTTATTTGATCCTGATTCTGTTTTCCTGATGATTGTTGTGAAGCGTTTGGCTCTCAGGAGGCTTCGAATCCGGTTTTCTTCTTTTTGTGACCAGTTTAAGGAACCAAATCCCAAAATATGAAATGCTTCTGCATCGGATTTCCGTCAGTGTGACGGCCGCCAAAGGGAATTAAAATGTGTCAAACTAATTAGTCCTCTTTTTCAATAAAATGTATGAAACAACCCAGTGAGCATTTTTTGGTTGAAAAGACGTTTAAAAGACGTCTATGGCCCAACGTTGAAAAGACGTTGCAAATGGTTTAAAAGTGAAAGTTGTTTCAACGTGATTTTTTATACGGTAATATTTCTTATTCTCTTTTGTGCTATATCATTATTTTGGAAGTTTAAAAAGAAACTACGTCCACATTTGTAAGTTTACCACCAATATTATAAATCACGTTGAAAACGTCTTTTCAACGTCTACGAATAGACGTCTTTTAAACGTCTTTTCAACGTTGAAATGCTCGCTGGTTGAAATGTGGTCTAAACGCAAACGTCTTTTCAACGTCTATGTATAGACGTTGAAACAACTTTCACTTTTGAACCAATTTGCAACCTCTTTTCATTGTCGGGCCATAGACGTCTTTTAAACGTTGTTTCAACGGATAAATTGCTCGCTGGAAACTTACAAGTTACATACTTAGTCACAGTTGTCATGTTAACATCCCTAATGTCTGAATCTCTAATGACTGTAGAAAAACATTTGAAACCCAAAAATAGGTTTGATGTAAATACTTTTTATCAAACGTTACAGCTGCATGTCTTTTCTTTTCTTTGACCTGAAGTGCAAACGTTTGGTCACATTGGAAGAACCTGATGAAATCGTGGGCAGGATTTCCATCCGACACACGTGTGTGTCAACTAAGCTCAATGTAAGAAATAGGATTTAAGTCCAAATGTGAGCTGCGTCCTTCTGAGGAACGTCTGTCTCAACGTCTTCTTGCTGCCCGTGATGAAGAGCTCACATGTTTCTGTCTGAACACGGCGGCTCGGATACTTTCGCTTTTCATTGGGTCGTGTTTTGCAAAAGTTTCCGTTCAGAGTTGCAGGTTAAAGTCTGTGGGTTCATTGTGACACTGAGGTGAGAAATGATGAAAGAAACCTTTTCGTAGAAAATGTTGTCTTTGACAGAAATGTCGGAACGCTTCCTCTTCTTCTCTTAAATCCTTTTCTAATGAACGTGTTCCATCCAATGTAAACACAAGAGCATCCTCATTGGCCTTTAACACAAATAAATCTTTGTTTTTTGGGGTCGAAAAACTCCAAAACTATTTGATTGATTGTCATAAACTTTAAAAGAAACATCCGTGCTCCTCGGAGGATTCACCCAACTGACCCTGATTTCCCTTTTTTATAATTCATTACTTTTTTTTTAGTGCTTATTAGCAAATGTTTCCATGCTGACGTTCAGAACGTTGCACTCTGCACACATCAAGCTGTTGGCATCATCACTGGACGCATGGCAGCAGCTAACGTGAAGATCAAGATGGGAAGGATGACGGGACGAGTGACACACAACAACAGGGGAGATCTTGTTTATAATAAAAACGAAGGTCACAGGAAACATAACATCTAACTTATTCTACTGTACTGTCCACCCTTCAGCCTGCAGCCCACCTCAGAATAGGAACCAGGAGAAAATAAATAAACAAATAAAATGGAATAAAAAAATAAAACTCAATATCCTGCCGGAAGGTCAAAGGAGAAACTTTGGTAGGAGATAATGTGCAGAGAGCCGTCGCTTATGTGTCCGTGCTCATAATCTATACATGAGTGAGGGTGTTTCACTTGTCTGTTTAGGCGAGGAAAATGAGGAAATGAAAACCATTTGTAGTATTTGAGGATAGTTTATAAGACGTATATTGGGAGATGCTTTGAGAATTACAGTGTTTATACATAGTTATACCTCATTAGTCCTCCATAATAAATGAGTTAATGGTATATGGATCAAAGGGGAACTTGATGTATTTATGAATCAATGCAAGGTGTTGCATGTAAAACTGCGCATTTCAGACCTCACACATGAGTGAGGCAGGAAACGCGCATGTGATGCAGGAAAGGAAATAGGGCAATTCTCAACCTGCGGCTTTCTGCTGTTAAAAGCTGCACGCGTCTCTCGCCGGGTTCAGTGCAGATACAGAGGAACTACAGACGCACACCTTGAGGAGGGATGTTGTCCAGACTCGGCCCCTGTTTCCCCTGCAGACGCCGCAGAGCAGAAGGTAAGCGGAGGCTTCTTATTGAGCTCAATGGGGTTTTTTGAGTTGTTATCTCAAATTTGCGTCGATACTCTGGGCACGTTGGGCTTCTATTAGATAACACCAACCCAACCAGACTCCAAACCATGAAGGGGATCTCACCACAACACGGGTGAAAAGTCTGAGAGCATCCCGTGTGACCCCGGACCAGAGGTCACGTCTACTTATGTGGCCCAAAGGTGGCTTCACAATGCGAGCAGCATCAGCTTCTGACCTCAAAAGCAAAATACGCAGATATGAAAGGCTCATTCTGACATTACGGTACTTTCAGGTGATTCAACCCTGTGAACCTCCTCACTGCAGCTCTTATTCACTGAATAAAACATACTTATTCAGAATAGATCCCATGAAATGCATCAAAGTCTGCAGGATTCATCCACTTGGGACAATGAATGTCTGCAGCACGTTTCATAACGTCTGATGAAATAGAGATATTTTCCACAGATGTCAGTGTGGACCTTCCACTCATGAAAGAAGGCGGATAAGAGTATTTTTATTTTACTTACTTCCATTTTGAACTATTGCTCCCTTGATGTTTGTATCTTTTTTCACTTTGTATAATTAAAATTTTAATGAGGTTTAAAAAGTTTAAGGTTTAAAAAGGTTTTTGGAGATATTTTAGCTTTTACAAATAAGCTGTGATGTGGATGAAGATGAGATGGTTCTATTGGATTCTTGTTAAGTTAACCTTGTGTAGTTATATTTGATGTCATTTAAAAGGCAACAACTGAACTGACTTTTAACACCTGACTAGAAATAGAAAAAGAAAGAAGAGTTATTTTCATGACAAGGTTTTGTCCCCACAGAGCATTCCTCAGAGCGTGGCGACCATCTTCTCTCCGGCACAACGATGCGGAACGAGACAGACGGCGTCAAGCAGAACTGTCTCCTGTCGGTGTTTAGCTTCTGCTGCACCCCTGAAGCCCCCACCAGCAACCCCGCCGCGACCGATGGACACCCCCCTCCCACCGAGCAGGAGGAGCCCCCAAACGGTCAGAAGAAAGAAACTTTAGCAGAATTTAGACATTATATATTAGACAGAATTTAAATGAAAGTGATTTAACATAAACTAAATCTCTAATTTATCTAATATATTTTACTTGTTTTATTGGGTGAATAACCCAAAACACGAAGATTTTTGATTTACTATTGTAGATTCAAATGGTTCCAGGTCGAAATTCTGGTTTGACCTCGCGGGTGCAGGTTTTACAGTGTAGCCGTTGAGGACGGTCCAGATTTTTCCACAAACGCCATTTGAACACGAGCGTCTTCCCCCCCTCAGAGAGCCTCGCGTACGAGCAGACCCTCGAGAAGAAGCTCTTCTGTGAGGCCGGCCGGCTGCTGATAGCGAGAGAGGAGCGTCTGTTCGGGGAGATACAGGAGCCAGAGGCGCCGACGGGTCACCAGGCGGAGGTCACGGAGCTGGCGGACTGCCGCAGGGTCCTGCTGGACCTGGTGCTGCAGACCCTCAGGCTGTCCCTGGACCCGGGGGAGGCGGGGGCCGCCGCGGCCCTGGCGTCTGCCGTGAAGGCCGTGGAGCAGGAGGAGGCCCAGGACCGGTTGTGGGATCAGAGGGGTCGGAAGCCTCCGGTGTGGAGGCCCTGCGCCTGGAAGGAGGTCCACGACTCCACGCTGCGCGGACTGGTGGAGGAGCGCATGGACAACCCCTCCACGCCCCCCTCCGCCGTCCAGGCGGGACAGTCCTCCGTCCAGGTGGACGTCTGCGCCATGGGCCGGCAGATGAAGGAGGACCTGCTGCAGGTGGCGAGCGTGGTGAGGAGCTGCTACCCGCCCGAGACCAACATCTGTCACCTGTACATCCAGGCGTACCACCGCACCTTCAGCGCCAGGCTCAGGAAGATCGCAGACTTCGGTCTGGAGGACAAGGACTGCACCTTCCTCCTGCGCTGGGTCAACGAGTATTATCCCCTGTAAGGACATTTATATCTGCTTCTTTACTGTGCTCTTATACTTATACTCGCATGGCATCTTGGAAGCAAATGTTGTACTTTTACTCCTATAAATACTATTATTACATGTAATTTAGCTGACGCTTTCATCCAAAGTGACTTTCACCAAGTGCATTTCAACCATAAGAATACAGGGGTCACAAAAAGGTTTATTCCAAAACTATAAACGACGCCTTTTTAAAAGAAGGGACAAACAACATTTCGCATAGGGCATTTTCGTAGGCCAACTATGACCCAATCGCACCAGATGTCTTCAGGAAGAATGAGCCGCCAATGCATCAGGTTGGAGTCTCTTAAAGGCTGGCTGCACTGGCCAGCGACTGATAACCAGCTGGTTATCGGCCCCTCACCTCCCAACCACCCAGGAACCTGCAAGACAGACACACCAACAGTAAAGGCCCTGGGGCCGTCACACAAAAAGGCAATTTACAACTGGTTATAGATAAGTGCCATTAAGGTGCTGTAATTTGTTAGTGTTTTAGTGGAGGTAGAGTCTTTAGTCTGAAGATGTGAAGGCTCTCTGTGGTCCTGATGTCATCAGACAGCTTGTTCCACCATTTAGGAGCAGGACAGCAAAGCCTTGTGATCTAGTTAAGGGTTTTGCCCTCAGTGAGAAGGAACAAGTGGTTTATCAGATGCAGAGCGGGTCGGGATGTCGGGTTTGACCAGGTCCTGGATGTAAGCTGGACCCGATGCATTCACAGCATGGTACGTGAGCACCAATGTTTTGAACTGGATGCGGGCAGCATTCTGGATGAGCTGCAGAGCCTGAATGGCGGTAGCAGGGAGACCTGCAGGAGAGTTACACTAGTCCAAGTGTGAGATGAGTCGCCAAAGTTGACAGTCAGGTCCTGTGTAGGAGAATCTTCGCCTGGAAAGAGAAGTAGTTCAGTCTTGTTGGGGTTGATTTTCAGATGGTGGGTGGACATCCACTGAGGGATGTCAGTCAGAGATCTGTGCCGCCACCTGGATGTCCCAGTGAGGGAAGGAGAGAATTAGTTGGGTGTCATCGGCATAGCTGTGGAAAGAGAAGCCATGCGAGCGAATGACAGCGCCGAGAGAGTTGGTGTAGAGCGAGAAGAGGAGGGGACCCAGGACAGAACCCTGAGGAACTCCAGTAGTAGAGGACAAGGTTACGACTCAGAACCTCTCCGCCTGAGACAAGTTCCTGAAAAGAGGAAATAAGGATCTCGTGATTCACTGCGCCGTCTTTACTTCAGGCAGGGGTTCGGCACACGGGTAGTCAGACGGAGAAGGTGGATACATCCAAATCGGCAGGCAAAGGTTGACGGAGGGACAGAAATGGGTCAAAACACGAGAAGGCACACTCAGGGGAATCGCTGGTAAGCTCATTGGAACAAAAGAGACAAACTGGCACAGATCAAGCTGTTGGCACATAGAAAATACACAGGAGAACGAGACACAGGTGGAAACAATAAGGGTGGGGCTTGCAATCACAAGGGGCGGTGGCACTCAGGGAGGAGGTGTCTGAAACGAGAGGGAAAGGTGAGTGACAGAAACACAACAGAAAACAACATGTGACCTACTGCCCCAGTCTGGGTGTTCCACCAATAAGATGGAATCAGAAGCTCGATGTCTAAAACGTGGCTGATGGAAGTTGTGGTGTCTTCTCTCTGTCACAGAGTCCTTCAAAAGCCACAGATGGCCGGCGAGATGGATGTCGCAGCGTTGGGAAAGCTGCTGCCTGAAGAGTTGTTGAAACCTCTGGAGGATCAATACCTGAGCAGGCGAGAGGTAACCGGACCTCCTGCTGCTGCTCCTCGTCCCCACCGGGCCGCGTTTATCAGCCCAACAAGGAGGCTACAGGGAAAACCGCTGACTTTATTGATTCATTACTTACATGGGTTGTCGCTTGTTGTGCGCTCAGGAGGAGCTGACCACGTTCGGAGGCCGCATCCTCGAGGATGCGAAGGACAAGTGGAATAAAGGAGAGGAGCCGACGAGGGAGGACGGCTGCTTCGTCAGTCCTGTTTCCTACGACATCATCCAGGTACGCCTCTCAGTAAAGACTGGAGCAAAGCGCTGAAGCTGCTCGGGGTTCAGTGTCTCGTGTAAAGTCTCACGCTGTGGTTTCCAATGCTGTCGTCTTTCTCCAGCTCATCAACGAGATGGTCACCTCAGCTGAGAAGGTTGTGGGAGATCTGCAGAAGGCTCAGACCATAACGCGCCAACTCAAGGGTATAATGCACCGGTGAGCTACTACGGTAGTTTTGTCTTGTGTTTATTAACAGCAACTCTGTGAAACTCAACTCTTGTCAAACTCCTGCAGATTCAAGATCTTTCAAAGCGACGTCATAAAGAAAAACAAAGCGAGCAGCCGGCCGGTGGTGAAGGCCCACCTCGGCTGTATCGAGCAGTTCAGGTGCGTCTCTGACTGTCAGGTGTCCGGCTACACAAACAAATACCCCTGTGGGCTCATTTGATTTTGCTCTGTCTGCAGGGACTTCCTCAATACGAAGAGACACCTGTTCACCGAGGAAGTGGGGAAAGACTGTTTGCTTGTTCTGACCGACATGAAACTATCTGCCCAGGCGTATTTATTAAAACCTGTGCACCAGGTCCTCAAGGTGAGAATGTCTTCTTCTTCATGAAATCTGATGAGCAAACCAAAACCACCACATGTGGATTAATGCGCTGCTGAAAAGAGTCCCCAAGAGTTCATCGTTTTACCTCCTGTTTCTTTTTATTTTGAAAGTTCTCTGCCTGTTCAAAAGTGTGACCTGTCTAACGCAGCGTGTATGTGCTCCACACAGCCAGAGTACCGCAAACTGGGAACCAGTGACTGGCTGAATAAGAACCTGTTCAACAGGCTGCTGGGCGGCATCGAGGAAGAGCTTCAGGGTCTTCAGGGCTCCATCGGATCCTGTCACCAGGTAGATGCATGAAGCATGAAGAACACCTCAGCTCAGTTTAAAGGGCAGAAGCTGCAGCTTGCTCCCTCAAAGAAAGGTTACCACATTGGTTCATTTAATGGATTAAGCTGAAGCTTCTAATTCTTAAAGCATAAAGATTATTTTTAATGTGGTGAAATGAATGGGAAATAACGGCTGCCTTTAGAACTCGTTCTAAAGGCAGCCGTTTTGACAGAATGTGTAAATCCACTTTCTTACGATGGTCGCATTGATTGCAGGAGCTGTTGGGAAAGCTGCACCAGGAGGTGACGGTAGAATACGTGAGGAGGCTCCTGAAAGGAGCCAAACTGAAAAACGAGGAGCAGCAGGCGAAGGCCTGCAACACCGTGAGGGACAACGCAGAGAGTCTGTACAAATTATTCCTTAAAATGGTGAGAAATCGAGCAGAACGTTTCTGCAAAACAACCGAGTGAATCCAGAAGAAACAGGAAACCAAAAACACATTTAGAAGGTGAGACGGAGCCGTAACTGCTGTGTCCTCACAGGGGTCCGAGGACGTTTGGCTGAAGGACATCCTGACCAAGATAGCAGAAGTCCTGAGACTCCAAGACCTCCCCGCCATCAAGATCCAAGTAGCCTCGCTGGGAGCAGATCACCCCGACCTCAGGTAGGTTCAACACTGACGCGGTTACACACAGCGCGTCTCCTTCGGGAGGTTAGTGGATTCTGAGGATGAACCAACCCACTCAACAGGAGGAGAAAATGCTGTCAGGAAGAAGGAGTGTGGATCTGTTGAGGCTTGCTGTTGTGTCTGAGCTCCATGACGTTCTCAGAGCGGGGGACTCACTGATGTGGAAACCTTGAAATGAGGAAGTTGTAACCAATACTTTGTTTTTTGGAAATACTCCCTTTCCAAAAATACTTTCCCACTCCGCTCTCTATCCGATGGTTAGAGGAATAGATTGTGTTTGGACTGTAAACCGCTGAAGGCAGGAGATGGTTAGCTTAGCATGAGACCGCAAACAGCCTGACAAAAGAAGCAGCAGATGGAATTCATTACAGTGGTGGAGATACAACCTGGTTCTTTCCACATCCCTTTTTCAGCAGTGTGTCTGTTCACGTGCTCGTTACTGTAACAGCTGCTTCCTCAACTGAACCTGAAATGAATAATAAGTCGACCAAGCAGAACGTCATGAAGGCGGGTTAAACATTTATAACAAACGGCACAGATATCCCACCGAGCCTGGAGGAGAGCTAGGTCCCGCCCCTCACTGGCCCATCGGCCAAATCATAGCACAGGAGGCGGACTCTGTGATAGAAAGATGTTGAGGTATCAAACTCAATGAAAGTTAAAGCCCAATTTACATTACATACATCTGCCTGGAGAAATGACCATAGCGCGCACTACATACAAGCCACATATCACCGCGTGTGCTTTGGATTAAATCACCGATCCTAAACCTTCCCTCGTCCTCCCCCCCGCAGTGAGAAACAACTGTCGGCTCTTCTCAAGCTGAAGACCAACCTCTCCAAACCCGCCAGGAGGACCGTCACCGACGTCCTGTCGCTCACCAGAGAGGAGTTGAGCACCGCGGGGGGCCGAGGGGCCGCGAGGGCCTTCTTCTCTGAGGTCCGGGTCAAATGAGTTGTTTAAGTGATCAAACGAGGTCGGCCGTGTTGTGTGTGTGAGAGTGACAACACGAGCCCTGTTACAAAGGCGCTGACTGAATGGAAGAATAAGCTACCCTTGGAGAAAAATAAGTGAACTGTTAGAACTCTCATATGTGGTTACTGGTCAATGCTTGAAGTGAGGAGTTTAGGTTTGGTTCTTGTTTTTGAGTTCACTTTTTGTGTTGCTATTTAGTTTTAATGCTGTTTTTTTATTGTTGTTCAAATGTACAGTATGTGAACCATGCTCATTTAATTCAGGTCCTCCTGTATGTATTTATACAGTTTTGCACAAATAAATGTTAACCTGCTGTACGTGTGTATGATGATCTGTTTGTTAAGTTAAATGTACAGTTTCACCAAGATGTTGAAGTGAAGTAGAGATAGAAAAATTGTGGCAACAAAGTGATAAGTCATGTTATTGAATAGATTTAAAGTCCAAGACAAACTTGGATTTAAAAAATGTATTCAAGTCCAGAATGGCAATGGGAATGTGTTGACTTAACTATGTGCTAAAATGTAAGTTGGTATAAATTATTTTATTCAGTAAATCAAATTAAATTTGACCAAGATTAGTAATATATAGCGCTCAATTTGACCCAAATATTCAGTAAATATAAATACATTTTACACAAATAATCAGTAAATATAAATAAATACATTTCACCTAAATATAAACGGATTTGAATTAAATATTAAGTAGATGTAAATACATTTCTTTCAAATATTGAGTAAATATAAGTCAATATCACCAAAATCTCCAATCATTATAAATGACTTGATGATATTATAAATAAGCTTGAATCAATTTTCCTTGTGAAATTGATTTGGATTAACTAAAATCTCCTTTAGATTTAATTTATTGTTTCAATATGTTTTACTCAAAGTTTTAGTAATTCAATTCTGCTCAATTATATTAATTGTCACTTTGTTGCCACAATTTCTTTAAGTAACCACTGGTCACATTTTTTAGAGTGCAGTCGGGGTACGTTGGATTTCTTCCATAACACTCGCAGCCCAAACAGACTCCAAAGTTAGGAAAGACACTGCTACTAACGATGAAGGGGATCTCACCACAACACGGGTGAAAAGTCTCAGAGCATCTCGTGTGACCCCGGACCAGAGGTCAAGTCTACTTATGTGGCCCAAAGGTGGCTTCACAATGTGAGCAGCATCAGCTTCTGTCCTCGAAAGCAAAATACGCAGATGTGAAAGGCTCATTGTGACATCACGATACTTTCAGGTGATTCAACCCTGTGAACCTCCTCACTGCAGGACTTCTTCACTGAATAAAACATACTTATTCAGAATAGATCCCAGGAAGTGCTAAACTCCTGTAAAGTAACATGGAATTGTTGTGTATAGCTTAGAAAAACATGTTTATATATGTGGCAATGTTTCTACACCCGGAAGGGACTAACACTAAACAAATACCAAACTGAAGTTATTCATCAGTTACTTTTTTGCTCACCGACGTTGGACAGGGTGTATTTTCTGGGGTGTTGGTGGCGCTAGAGGACAGAAAGGGGATCACCAAAGTCTGCAGGATTCATCCACTTGGAACAATCAATGTCTGCAGCACATTTCACAATGTCTGATAAAACAGAGCAGATATTTCAGCGTTTGCTCTGCTGTCAGCGTGTCCAAAACGGATTTAGGCTTCTAGTGTGTGTGTGTGTGTGTGTGTGTGCGCGTGTGTGTGTCTGTGGACTTTCCACTGCTGAAAGAAGGCGGAGCCTCGGTCTGCCCCATATGAGACTCTCCAGCTGCTGTGAGCCAACAGAGCAGGGACTGTGCGATCAGGGTGAGTAACCTCAATACTGCTGCAGATGTTTGTCTGCACGGCGGCACACCTCCATGGAGCCTTTCTGAGAAGGTCTCGCAGTAAATCTTCTTTACCTTACAGCCTTACATCATGTTTCACGTTGTGTTATTAAATTTGGGGGTTTTGGGGATAATTTAGCTTTTACAAAAAAGCTGTGATGTAGATTGAGATGAGACGGTTCTATTGGATTCTTGTTTACCTTTTGTAGTTATATTTCGTGTATTGACAAGAAAAAGTTCCGAAACCATCGCTTCAGGCTAAAAAAACATGTTTTTTTATTGCTTCTTATATAACTAAGCCAGTTTAGTCAGGCGTCATTAGTGGAACGTTGAGCTGAATTTTGATCATAGTATTTCTGACATGTTTTGTAGTCATTTAAAGGGCAACGACTGATCTGACTTTTAATACCCGACTAGAAGTAGAGTTATTTTCATGACATGGTTTTGTCCCCACAGAGCATTCCTCAGAGCGTGGCGACCATCTTCTCTCCAGGACAACGATGCGGACCGAGACGGACGGCGTCAAGCTGAACTTTCACCTGCCGAAGCTCTTTGGCAGGACCCCCAGAGCCCCCACCAGCAACCCCGCCGCGGCCGATGGATCTCCCCTCGAAAACGGTCAGCTGAGCTACGGCTCAAAAGGACCCCTGAGCATACCATCTTTCTCTTATAATATGACTAATATTGATATTTTAAAGTATTTGTAAGTGTAGAGTAGAATATTTGCAGATCATCATACACACATACAGCTATTTGCATGAGATTCATGGATTACTGTTACTCCTAACATGTACTTTCTACTTAAACATTTATTTGAAAACACAAGTTAAAGCCTCCAACAATCACTTACACTGTTGAAATGACAACTAGTGTAGAGAATCAATAATTAATATTACATTATTACTGCTTGGCTACTAACGAGCTTCAATAAGGCCCTACTGACAGAATGTCCCCATTTAAAGAAACTTTATCAAGCATTTAGACAACATTACATAGAGATTAGTCATGAAGGGGATGGAGATTTAATTTATGTTACAGCACTTAAAAGGGGCATTTCATTTTATTTTATCTAATATATTTGACTAGTTTTATTGGGTGAATAACCCAAAACACAAAGATTTTTAATTATACTATTGTATATTCAAATGGTTCCAGGTCGAAATTCTGGTTTGCTGTGAAGCTTTTGCTCTCCAACTTAAACAGGCAACGATACCACATTTATATTTACACAGTATATTATTTTACGATATTAAATGACCTCGCGGGTGCAGGTTTCACAGTGCAGCCGTTGAGGACGGTCCAGATGTTTCCACAAACGCCATTTGAACACGAGCGTCTTCCCCCCCTCAGAGAGCCTCGCGTACGAGCAGACCCTCGAGAAGAAGCTCTTCTGTGAGGCCGGCCGGCTGCTGATAGCGAGAGAGGAGCGTCTGTTCGGGGAGATACAGGAGCCAGAGGCGCCGACGGGTCACCAAGAGGAGGTCACGGAGCTGGCGGACTGCCGCAGGGTCCTGCTGGACCTGGTGCAGCAGACCCTCAGGCTGTCCCTGGACCCGGGGGAGGCGGGGGCCGCCGCGGCCCTGGCGTCTGCCGTGAAGGCCGTGGAGCAGGAGGAGGCCCAGGACCGGTTGTGGGATCAGAGGGGTCGGAAGCCTCCGGTGTGGAGGCCCTGCGCCTGGAAGGAGGTCCACGACTCCACGCTGCGCAGACTGGTGGAGGAGCGCATGGACAACCCCTCCACGCCCCCCTCTGCCGTCCAGGCGGGACAGTCCTCCGTCCAGGTGGACGTCTGCGCCATGGGCCGGCGGATGAAGGAGGACCTGCTGCAGGTGGCGAGCGTGGTGAGGAGCTGCTACCCGCCCGAGACCAACATCTGTCACCTGTACGCCGAGGCGTACCACCGCACCTTCAGCGCCAGGCTCAGGAAGATCGCAGACTTCGGTCTGGAGGACAAGGACTGCACCTTCCTCCTGCGCTGGGTCAACGAGTATTATCCCCTGTAAGGACATTTCTATCTGCTTCTTTACTGTGCTCTTATACTTATACTCGCATGGTATCTTGGAAGCAAATGTTGTACTTTTACTCTTATAAATACTATTATTACATGTAATTAAGCTGACGGTTTCATCCAAAGTGACTTTCACTAAATGCATTTCAACCATAAGAATACAGACACAAAAGAAGAAACAAGTGTTACGGTCTGGCTCCTCGACCGCAACAAATGAAAGATGACTACGGCAATTAAGGGTTTTTAACACAAAAAGGTTTATTCCAAAACTATAAACAACGCCTTTTTAAAAGAAGGGACAAACAACATTTCGCATAGGGCAATTCTCACAGGCCAACTATGACCCAATCGCACCAGATGTCTTCAGGAAGAATGAGCCCCCAATGCATCAGGTTGGAGTCTCTTAAAGGCTGGCTGCACTGGCCAGCGGCCTCCAGCTGGTTAACGGCCCCTCACCTCCCAACCACCCAGGAACCTGCAAGACACACACCCACCAACAGTAGAGGCCCTGGGGCAGTCACACAAAAAGGCAATTTACAACTTGTTATAGATAAGTGCCATTAAGGTGCTGTAATTTCTAGTGTTTTAGTGGAGGTAGAGTCTTTAGTCTGAAGATGTGAAGGCTCTCTGTGGTCCTGATGTCATCAGACAGCTCGTTCCACCATTTAGGAGCAGGAGAGCAAAGCCTCATGATCTAGTTAAGGGTTTTGCTCTCAGTGAGGAGGAACAAGCAGTTTATCAGATGCAGAGCGTGGCGGGATGTCGGGTTTGACCATGTCCCGGATGTAAGCTGGACCCGATCCATTCACAGGATGGTACGTGAGCACCAATGTTTTGAACTGGATGCGGGCAGCATTCTGGATGAGCTGCAGAGGTGGAATGGTGGTAACAGGAGACCTGCAGGAGAGAGTTACAGTAGGCCAGGCGTGAGATGACAAGAGCCTGAATCAGTACCTGCGCTGCCTTCTGAGTGAGAAGAAGACGTATTCTCCTGATGTTGTAGAGCGAGTATCTACAGGATCGTGTTGTCGCAGTAATGTTGGGAGTCAGGGAGAGTTGGCTGTCGAGTGTCACGCCGAGGTTCCTAGTGGTCAAAGTGGGCGTTAACACAGAGTCGCCGAGGTTGACCGTCAGGTCCTGTGTCAGAGAATCTTCACCCGGAAAGAGAAGTAGTTCAGTCTTGTTGGGGTTGATTTTAAGATGGTGGGTGGACATCCACTGAGGGATGTCAGTCAGAGATCCGTGCCGCCACCTGGGTGTCCGAGTGAGGGAAGGAGAGAATTAGTTGGGTGTCATCGGCATAGCTGTGGAAGGAGAAGCCATGTGAGCAAATGACAGCGCCGAGAGAGTTGGTGTAGAGCGAGAAGAGGAGGGGACCCAGGACAGAACCCTGAGGAACTCCAGTATTAGAGGACAAGGTTCCGACACTGATCCTCTCCGCCTGAGAGAGAGTTCCTGAAAAGAGGAAATAAGGATC